GTACCTTCGCAAAAAGTAGTGTTAAGCTGGGAGGGGAGCTATTGGACAGATCATGTGCATTGTGAGTCCTGACAGCAATTCGTTCCGTTGTTCAAGATAATGACTGATGTAGAAAATTAGTTATTAGCGAAACTGCAATTAAAATTTAAAAAGCGCAAATCCGCTTATGCTTTATAAAAATTAGCAAGACCGCTAAAGCGCAAACAAAATGTTTAGGTCTGAAATTAGCGGATTTGCGCTTTAGCGGTCTGGTGCCCACCAATGCCTCTAACAGCATAAAAACCTGCATGTTAAATTGATTGGTAATTCTATTTCTCCCTAGATGTGAGTGAGAGTGTGATCTGTTCTTTGTCTTTAAATGCTCTTAAAAGAATACAGTACAGCTAAATGGCCAAACAACCCATTTTGTGTTGATGCTCTGCATGTTGCTGTCACTCAATCTGCTGAAGAGAGCAACAGGAGTCACTGAATTGCTCTTACCAGGACTGCAGCTAATGACTACTTTGATAGTCAGCTAATCTGTGATTATTTTTTCAATTAGTCGATTAGTCAACAATTTTATTCTGTCACAATGTCCATCTATGCTTTCTGTGGGCACACATCCTGTTCTAGCTCCAGTAGCTACATATTTCGTCTCATCTGCTCACACTTGTGAATGTCACTCTGTTATCCAGTTTATCTACCTTAACACAAAAAGTTCCAATAGCAAATTAAAATAATAACCCATGAAACATTTGAATTTTAACCTCAAGCTTAATAGCTTAATCAGATGCATTTTGTACAGTATTACATGCAAACATGATTAAAATTAAATTATATAATACAAATTAAACTGCAAGTAGTCAACAAACAGCTAATGTACAAATAACTCAAAATAGCGGCCTCTCTTCCAGCATGAGCGGCTGTTAACCTGCCCTGCAGGGTGTAAACGTAGCTTTGGTTGTGGGGACATTCAAGTGCATTAAAGTAAGAAAATAATCCATCATATTTTAAATTTTGCTGGTTCTGGCTGTCCAAAAGTTCAAAGACTTAAATGCTATCAGAAAATGTGAGAAAACAAGGCAAGATTGTTACTTTCTTTCAGTTATTTAATATGAAGCACTTAAGCTAATGTATGATGACTCCGCTTCCAAGAAACGCTGTTTTCTGATAGTAAATTAACAAACTTATAGAGAGTTGGCTACAGCACAAAGTGAGGACTCTGAAAATAACATTTACTGTATAAGAAATGAACCTGGCAAACAAGGTAACTTTCTGAAACTTTACCACATGGAGAGGACAGCTAGTGTCTTGTGGTCTGATCATGTTTTTCCCACGGCTGTGCCTCCATTACTGACTGCATTTTACTTTATTCGGTTCATTTTTTGGTAAAAAAATAAAATTTTGCCAACTTTGGAAAATTAGTCTTGTTTTTTTTCTCTCTCTCTTTGACATGATCATCTTTTTGTTCTGCCTTTATTACTGCTCTTTTGATTTGCCCAGGGCTTCTTCTGTGGTTTGCAGACCGGCACTTCTTTTTCAGTAGCCTATAAACCAGGGCTATTGAACCGGCAGCTCGCAGGCTACATCCGGCCCGCGAGTGACCAAAGTCCGGCCCGCCAATTGCTTCATTCATCTCTTAAGCCCAAAGCCCCAGTTTTCTACTTTAATTACTCTAAGTTCTTTTAGTTAAACATAGACATGTTTGGTATCTACAGAAACATCAGGATCTTGGCTACAAGCTGGTAAAACCCATTTCTATGCTCACTCAAGCTGTTGAAGATAAAACAATGAAAGTGAAAATAAAATTGGTTTAAATTTTTGAAAAATCAAAGAAGTCAAAATTATATTTGTGTTAAATAGGAGGGATAATGTGTTATTTTTAGTTTTGATATAATTTTATTATCACTATTTTTTTATTACATAGGGTTCTGTATGTTGTATTTATGATTAAATAAAAATTAAATCAGCTGTTTCAAAAGTAACAAATACTTGGTTTATTCACATAATGAATGTAATCGATGTATGTTCGGGCCTTTAGCTGATGGCCTGTAGTAACTGTGGCCACCAGAGCAATTTAGTTGAATATCCCTGCTATAAACAAACCACAGACAATAGAAGCAATTCTGCCTCCAGCAGTTTGTGGATTGCATTGCAGTTACAAATAATCAGTTACCAAATATCAGTTAATAATACGATGCATCAACATTAAAATGCCACTTCTCTGCACGTAGAGCAAAGAGCTTGCATGTCTTGAATAAAAAATAATCACACTGAAAGTTTAAATCTGAAGGGAGTTCAGTTATAGTGTTTGACTTAAGAAACTTGTGGTCCCTGAAGGTGTCAGTCAGCACTTGTCACATTATTTAACTCCCTTCTACACTCGCGTGCCTGTATGCAGTTCTCACTGCATGCTTATGATTTTGACGTTAGCAGAATGCTGCCCGGGGATTAGCTCTTGGATTGATTGACAGAGGCAAGGCATTACTTGTGCAAATTTATACTGCAAACTTCCTCCTGGAGAGAGGTGCTTTCGTTTTGGGATCCAAGTGTGAGATACAACAACATGGGGCAAGCACTGATGATAAAATAATCTAAGTGGAGGTGCAAACCTTTATGGCAATCTTTGGAAAGGCATAACATGTACTAAACACTTCCTGGAGGGAGGTGAAGGAGACGAGCACTGGACGAAGCTGAGCAGAGATCCCGGGAACAAACTGGGCACCCATGATTACACAAGAATTAACAAAAAGCACCGCAGCCATAAATTCAATTCAATTAAAAAATACTTTATTGATCCCAGAGGGAAATTAGGTAAATAAAAACATGAATAAATAAAAAAGGAAAAAAAATTGTATAGGTCCTCTGGACGGGTTCTTCTTTAATGAAACGTTTCGTCTCTCTTCCAAGAGACTTCTTCAGTCTGAGAGTTTCAGGCAAAATGCAAGCTTTTAAGTCCTGCCTCCAGGTGACTGATACTCACATCACATGACTATGGTTCACAGGTGACTCATACTCACATCACATCACATGAACGATGGCCATGTGATGTGAGTATCAGTCACCTGGAGGCAGGACTCAAAAGCCTGAATTTTGCCTGAAACTCTCAGACTGAAGAAGTCTCTTGGAAGAGAGACGAAATGTTTCATTAAAGAAGAACCCGTCCAGAGGACCTATACAATTTTTTTTTCCTTTTGATTTTTTACCTGGATTACTGAGATGCATCAGGACATGAATAAATAAATAAATAAATAAATAAAGTCTGACTACTGAATGATAAAACCACAATGGCTTTTTTTTTACCACAACAGCTAAAGTCACTGCAGATGGTCCACCCACAATCATGCGCACAGAGTGAGATGGAAACACACACACACCTGAGCAGGACCAAACAGACCTGAACCGAATAGTGAGACTTACAAATGGAGAAAGGGCTTTAAAGCCGAGCGTCATGTTGATACTGCTAGACTGACACAAGTTTCACCCCACTCCATGAAGTAACAGAGCTGTTGTCATCGATGCAGATTTTATGAGGAGTGCGGGTTGCCCTGCTTGTTCATTGGTAGTGGAAATTGTTATTTATTAAGGGACATGGAGACCTTTTTTGTGTTTGTGACCACCCGCTCCCCGCACCTTCCTGGAACAACGATTGGTCCCATCAGTGAGACCGGAATTGTTTTCCCCCAGTTTCACTATTAGGGAATCAGGTCGCATTTGTGACCAAATTAGTCACATTCCAGAGCCCTGAGAACAAAACACCCCCCCCCCCCCAATCCAGGTTCAAAATGATGGGAGGTGCCCTGTCACAATGTAGGTGATCATATTTTTTAAAAATAAAATAAAATAAACATGCTCATGGGGGTATCTGGCGGCATTTCAAGCAAAACTCTTACTCACCCTCTTATGACTGACATAACAGAGTGCTGATTTATTTTTTGAAGACATTTTCCCTGGCAAAGAGCCATGACTCACCAGAAATGAGTCCACAGCACAAACATGGGCAGTGATCCACCAATGTACATTAAAAGACCATTTAAAGTTGCCAGTTAACCTTTCATCTTTTTAATTTTAACTAAACCACAATAAACCTAAAACACAAAAAGAGACATTATCTTTTATCTTAACTCTTATTTCTAATTGACTCAATATTTTCCTCGACCAAGAGGGTGGAGTGGGGGGAGGAGTCTAAAATGGGGGCAGTAATTTGAGGATTCGTTGTCAAGAAACTTCAGATGTATTGTTGCTGAAACATCAGCTGAAATAGACAAACTTTTAGCTGAAATCTCAGTCACACTTGGCTTGCATCTCTGGAGAGCTTGAGTCTGTTCAGCTGTGGCTACAATGGTCCATCACTCTATTCATTGCTATCATTCCTATTATTAAAATACAATATTACACATATTGCAGATAAGAAAATCCTTTTATCAAATATTTATAACTGCAGACAGTTACAGTAAATCAGATGAAAATGCTCTTATAAAATCTAATTGTTTCAATCAGCCTTTAATTGCTTTAATTATTTTCCAAGAATATTTTACTAAGGGGGTTAAAATCAATTTAGCTAAAGATGTTCTTGAATCACACTAGGATATTTTTTCTGTTATATGTCTACTTCATAACTAGTGATTAATGAATTACACAATAACTTTCTACCTTTAGGTGCTATATCCAGATATGCTGCAGCTTGTAGATAAATATTTATCTTGGTTTTTATTTCCCAACAGACATAACACGAGCTCAGGATGGTGCATCTCCTAATATATCACACTGAAGGTTCATTTTTTGACTGCGAAGGTTATGGCTGATATAGGGGTCACTCGTCTTCTTTTCTCCTTCTCCACCCTCTTTTTCCTTCGCTGCGTCCTCCTTTCACCTTTGCTTAAGCATATTTCTTCCCCACGCTTTTGACTTTATCACCTTTTCAGTACCAATGCATTCAAACTTTTGCACCCCATCCCACAATATTGATGTTTTTTCCCCCTCTTTAAGATATTCTTTGTTATAACTGCCTGTCTCCACAGGAGTTCTGTGGCTTTGCATCGTGGCAGAGTGCCTGTACATCCTCCTTCTGGCCACCGGAGGCATCCTCATGTCATTAGAAGTGTGTCACTTTGGCAACGTCATCGATGGCCTAAAGCTCAATGCCTTTGCTGCCATATTCACCGTGCTCTCAGGTGAGACGACTCTTGATCTTACCAGCTGAAAATGTTAGATAAATGAATCAAATTTCGTGATTCATTAAATTCATTTAGCATAATCCTCATGTCTTGTACAAGAAAATGTAATTTTGGGGATTATTTGTTCCTATTTTTTAAGAAAACTAATTTTTTTTTGGGGGGGGAGGGTAATATGGCACACACTTTTACTTCTAGTGTAGTACACAATGTCTGCGTGTGGCTACATTTGTAGTGTGGCTGCATTTGTAGTGTCAGTAAGATTAACCACAGCCTTATGTTATACACTTGTGTATTTATGTCCACAATGACACAGTTGTGGGCCAGCTCTGGCAATGATGGCACTGTTTTTAAGATGGCATGCCACAACTAGCCCAGTAGTGATATGGTTTATGTGGTGCTGGACTATGCATGGAACACCTTTGGCAAACCACTTCTGAGCCACCGAAGGGCCATCAATCTTTACAGTATGTGGGCCAAGTGTTAGGGTTTATTCTAGGGTTGGGCAAAATTGTATCGCGTGCAACTGATCATCAGAAAAACTTTGATCAATTATTTTTTGGCACTTGACGATTAATACGATTAATGCCACCAAGCAGACTGACTGGGGATTTCCCCGGTCAGTCTGCTCGATGCTCCTCTCCGCTTCAAGTATGACGAATGTGTAAAAAAGTTCTGTTTTTTTATTTATAATAACTCCGGTAATACTTGGATTATCAACATAATTTAAAAATTGATGTATGGCACTGTACTTTGGATGTAATTTGGAACAGATTTTTACAGAGAGAAATACTTCCCCTTGATTTAAATCAGTCATGTGACTAGGGCATGCAGGCATCCAGGGACTCAGGGGGATTAATTGTTGTATTAMTCGTTATCGGCTAAATACCACAATTAATCGAAGTTATTGTTTTTGTTTTTTTTGTTTTGTTTTGTTTTTTTTTTTGCCAAAATTGCCCAACCCTAGTGTAGTCACACCAGCTGTTGTTAATCTGCTTTAATTGAATTTTAGTTTAAAGTTGAAAGTCCGGTTCGTTTGGGGAGGTGTGAATACGGTTTTAGAGTGTTTGTGCACTCTGTGGGACAGAACTGGGACAGACAATTTTTGCTATGTGAGATGGCAGTGCGATGTTTGCATAGCACAAGACTGTGCAAGGGAATTGTTCAGACATGGCTCTGGATTGTGTCTTACAGGGCTGTGACTGATAGAGATGACTTCAAATTGTAATAAAGTAGACCCATTTTCAGTTGCGGTCTTTGTGACTGGCAAGCTGTGTAGCTGCTTTTAAAGCTGCCAGTTTTTGTGAGGATTGCATGCAAAACTGTGTTCCAAGCTCAGCTCCACTGACATTGTACCCGCTATGGTAAACTCCCCCACCATTACTGAAATACTGGAGAACCTCTTCAAAATGAAGATGAGCAGATTTGAACCTTTTTTTTGAAAACATGTTATTTTTCAATTAGAGTTTCTGTGGTGAGTGTAAATGAAAATAGACAGTTGATAAGCCCAAGAACTTTATTACAAGCCTGCTGTCAGACTCTGCTCTCCTCTTCTCTTTTCTGCCCGATGTTCTCACACCAGTGTCTTCTAGTGACAAGAGGCATTAACAGCTGTAATAACAGGTAACCTCCAACAGATTATGTACTAACCCTCTGGCTTGGGGTGGGGCAGCAAATGTATAGTGAAGGCCACCCCCAATCATTTGGTGGTGCCCCAGTATTTGTGACTTCAAGTCAGAAACACTAAAGCTACAAAACCACATGCTGATTTTAAGTCATTGCATTACTGCTTTCAAACAACTGAATCTAAAAATTGCATTTTCATTCTGGTGTATGTCCAATCACATTTAGGCCAGTTGCAACCCCTCAGCCCCTTAGAAGATTTCCAGCTAGCTTGCAGTCTGCCTCTAACTCTCAGTGGAGGAATTAACAATGACCTTCTCTCTAATCCACTCTGAAAATGATGCTGAGCACCAAGCTCTTAGCAGTAAATCAGCAGTAAAAACTACTTGTCTCTATAGCAGTGGTTCATTTACTGACTTTTCATGGGCAATTCAGAAAGGGTCTAAAAACTTTTCTAAAAATAAAAGAAACTTTTGAATCTAGGTCAAAATCTTTACCCCAGGCTTTGATGCTTACGAAGTTATTAGCACATTCGTTATCTTTTTTCCCTTCATTTGCCAGCTTAGCCAGTGAGCTTTAGCCTCATTCCCAGTGTTATTTTTAATTCTGTAAGCTTTGACAATGATTTGGGTGGTTAGATTAGCTATAATATACCTTTAAAATAAAACATAGACTTCTTCATTTTTGGTCCATGTTGGAGGTTGCAGAAGGTTAGTGCCTATCCCAGGAGCTAACAGACAAGAAGTCAGAACAAACTTCTAGTTTGTTGCAAAAGAGGAAGATGAGAAATCACAAGAAATACAGCAATGAGAAGATGGAATGAAATAAAATACTTGTTGCATTTTTAAAAAGTGCAGATAATTGCACAAAGTAGAAATAAAAAATGTGTCTCAAAAAGAATTACTCCAGGAAAGTATAYATAACCAAAATTTCTACTTAAGTAGAACAACTCTGACTTTCACAGACACATCACAAAGTGCTTCATGGAGATCAAAATAACTAAAAACAATACTAGAGGACAAGATAAAAAAAGAAAACAGAAAATAAACTTAACTAAAAACCTGTCTGAATAAAACTCAGAGGAGTCTGTGCAATGAAGATTCATTGGGAGAGTATTCCAGTGCCTAGATGTGGCTCAGTCACCACAGGTTTTGAAATGGGTTTGAGGTACCACCAGTAGCATTTGATTTAACAGCTTCAGTAGGTCCGATATGTATTTGGGGGGCCTGACCATTAAGTGCTCTAAAGGTGGAGACCCTGGAAGCACCTGCACATACACTCACCGGCCACTTTATTAGGTACACCTGTCCAACTGCTCGTTAACACTTAATTTCTAATCAGCCAATCACATGGCGGCAACTCAGTGCATTTAGGTATGTAGACATGGTCAAGATAATCTCCTGCAGTTCAAACCGAGCATCAGTATGGGGAAGAAAGGTGATTTGAGTGCCTTTGAACGTGGCATGGTTGTTGGTGCCAGAAGGGCTGGTCTGAGTATTTCAGAAACTGCTGATCTACTGGGATTTTCACGCACAACCATCTCTAGGGTTTACAGAGAATGGTCCGAAAAAGAAAAAACATCCAGTGAGCGGCAGTCCTGTGGGCGGAAATGCCTTGTTGATGCCAGAGGTCAGAGGAGAATGGGCAGACTGGTTGGAGCTGATAGAAAGGCAACAGTGACTCAAATAACCACCCGTTACAACCAAGGTAGGCAGAAGAGCATCTCTGAACGCACAGTACGTCGAACTTTGAGGCAGATGGGCTTCAGCAGCAGAAGACCACACCGGGTGCCACTCCTTTCAGCTAAGAACAGGAAACTGAGGCTACAATTTGCACAAGCTCATCGAAATTGGACAAGAGAAGATTGGAAAAACGTTACCTGGTCTGATGAGTCTCGATTTCTGCTGCGACATTCGGATGGTAGGGTCAGAATTTGGCGTCAACAACATGAAAGCATGGATCCATCCTGCCTTGTATCAACGGTTCAGGCTGGTGGTGGTGGTGTCATGGTGTGGGGAATCTTTTCTTGKCACTCTTTGGGCCCCTTGGTACCAATTGAGCATCGTTGCAACGCCACAGCCTACCTGAGTATTGTTGCTGACCATGTCCATCCCTTTATGACCACAATATACCCAACATCTGATGGCTACTTTCAGCAGGATAATGCGCCATGTCATAAAGCTGGAATCATCTCAGACTGGTTTCTTGAACATGACAATGAGTTCACTGTACTCAAATGGCCTCCACAGTCACCAGATCTCAATCCAATAGAGCATCTTTGGGATGTGGTGGAACGGGAGATTCGCATCATGGATGTGCAGCCGACAAATCTGCGGCAACTGTGTGATGCCATCATGTCAATATGGACCAAAATCTCCGAGGAATGCTTCCAGCACCTTGTTGAATCTATGCCACGAAGAATTGAGGCAGTTCTGAAGGCAAAAGGGGGTCCAACCCGTTACTAGCGTGGTGTACCTAATAAAGTGGCCGGTGAGTGTACTGTATATCCCAGTCACATGAACAAATCAAGTTACTGTAGCCAGAAAGATGTGCCATTCCTAAGAATCTGATTCAATTTCTGCCAAAAGTACACTTCAAACTGTAGACCATTTTTTAAAACTTGTTGATAGACCAAGTAAAACCAGAGTTATGATAAATAATTTATGGCACTCTTTTTTAATGGTCATCATGCTTGTAGCAGCTGAAAAGAAGGGCAGATTCATAGAAACAACGCCTCAACTCCCACCCCACCCAAAAAAAAAAAAAAACAAAACAAAACAAAAAACAAAGCACAACCCTCAACTTCTTTTATGACATACTCTTAATTTACATTACTTGCGTTCCGTCTCCGCTCCGCTCCGACCTCCGCAGCAAATATGCCCCCATTATAATCAACGAGAGTGTTTACACTGGCTGTGCACGGTGGCGGTGAGTGGACGGTGATCCATCAAAATTAGAACAGATCCTATTTTTGCCATACACCGGAGCAGCACCGGAGTCAATTTTTAAAGATTACGTCGCACCAACAGGAAAAGAAACGAGCACAACATCCGTATTTTCAAAATCAGACACTTTTAGGCTGGATAATTTGTTGGAAAATGTCGAAATTGCGGCTATTTTAATAAATAAACAGATATATGTCTACACAAATGGTGTCAGAATGTATCGGTCTGTTTGGGAAGCAGATGGAAACATGTAGCATGAAGCATATGTGTACACACACATGATACACGTGGATTTTATTTTGAAATCAAAAGTTTCAAAAAGACGACAGCGAAAGTTTCAACATAGATATCAAAAGCCTTTATATCGTTGTTTTCAGCTGTGTTTGGAGTTAGTCTTTCACAGAATTAATTATTTTTTGCTGTGACTTCCAC